GCGCGATATCAATATTGAATTCAAACGCGTTCCGCTTCTTGTAATTATATAATTGTTTTGCAAGTAAGATTGCATTATTGTTGTCGGACAAACAATGGACAGAATTTACTGGTGCATTTATTGCTGCAAATGAACGAAGGGAATTTTCTTTCATTGATTCATTATGAATATTGCGAATGGTTTATAAGTTGCAACAAAGTAACAGAATCAATTTACAAGCATAATCACTCTTAATACGAGAGAAACGAAAATGCGATTAACGAAATGGCGTTTCAATAAATAATATAAAATAATAAAATTTAAATAATATAAAATTCATTTTATATATTTTTCGACCATCGATATTCATCTGATTCTTATTACATCAATTAAATAAAATAAAATACAATCTACAATTGAATCAACAAACTTTAACGACTTTTCATTACTCATATATATCCGTTTTATGAAATTATACTATTTATTCTAACACCACATGTACGAAGTATCACTCATAAAACTTTCTACTCATAAAATATGACGTTTATCGTTTAAAACGAAGAATATTATGCAAAAACGAAAAAGTTATAAATTAACCTCAATACCAAATAAGGACAAAAAACATTTCCCTCGTTCCACTCAAAAAAAAAGAAAATTTCTGCCCACGAAATATCGCGGTCACGAGAAGAATCAACATTCCTCTACGATACGTCTCTCTAAACGATTCTCCTTTTTGCTAGAGCAAAAAATAAAAAGAAAAAATCATCCACGAAAAACAAGAGAATCGAACAACTATCCCTTTACCCCTTCTCCACCGTTTCCCTCGTTCCTACCTTCGAAGAAGAAAAATAAAATAAAATGAAAAAAAAAAAGAAGAAAGAATTTCTGCCCCAATTTCGTCGTCGAGTTCTCGTCGTCACGGAATGTCGCGGCCACGGGAGGAAGAGGATCAAGATCCTCCTCTTCCCGTACAATGTCTCTGCAAAGAACGCGGGGACAGGGCGTACCGTTTGCCCGTTTGCTCGAGGCGAGTGCCAGCTCTCTAAACGTTTCTAAACGCGCGCGGCGTCGCGATATATTTACGCGAACGGGGAGACTTCGGTGGATCGGTGGCAACGGTCCAGCAGCCGTGTTACGGAAATAGATTTCGGCTGGTAGCGAT